CATAATTCACATATCATATTTAGTTAATCATACTTCACATATCATAATTAGTTAATCATACTTCACAGACAACTTACCAATGTGACAATTAATAATACTTTAACACAATCAACAAGAAAACATATGCAATACTTACTATTTTATCATAGTTTAACACAATTACAGTTAGCAAATAAAATGATTAAGTAATTTTGATAGTTAATCATAATGTAGTACTTCAAGTTTTCAACACAATTAACAAGACAAAACATACATGGTTTCAATGGAAGTCATGACAATCACAAAATTACAATTTTATTCAATGGAATGACACAGAAGTTTTGGTTTGGGCTAAGAAAAAAAAATTTAATTCAATGGAATGACACAAAAAAATATTTTATTTTATGTAAAATTGCTCAAAATTTGAATTTATTCAAATAGCGGTTATAGCGCCGCTATAGCGGTGACCATAATCGCGGTAAATAGCAGTAAATCATGGCGCTAATAGTGCCACCTCTATTCTAAAACCGCTATTTTGAAATAGCGTTTCCTTACCTCCGCTAACTGTTAGAGCGCTGCTATAGCACCGCTATAGCGCCGCTATTGACTACATAGACCCTAAGTCCACAACCAAACAAGGAATATGAAATGAGGCAAAATCGATCATTCTATGGCTATATGATTCTAATCGTATATAACTTTGAAAGAATACACTTTGCAATTAATTAAGCTGATATCAATTCCAAGTAATCCAATCCTCCTAGGCTATAAGGCATCACACAAATCAAGTAATTCTATCATATGATTCCTGAAGGTATCCTTAGCCTTAATCTAGCATGTAATTCACATATCAAGCATATTGATCATAATACATAGGTATGGGTAATTTTGGGAACCACTTACTTGAGCTCGGCTGATTGCACACATCACACCAAAAGTCAAAATTCAATCGAGTCAACTCGGTTGAGTACGCCTAACGTACTCAGCTCGTACGCATGGCGTACTAGCGTATTGACTAAACACAGGCCTTTGACCACGTACGCGCAGCGTACTCTAACGTACGCTCATCGTACGCACCTGCCACTTTTTACTTCTATTAAGAGCTTAATCATTTAAGCTTTTTAGTCCAAAATCCAAATCTAGTCCTCAAATGATATCCTTAATCATAAAGTTTCCAACTTTATGATCTTGCATGGCTATTAAGTGCTCAATACCAAAAACCCTAACTTCTTAACTCATTAGGACATCCTAGTCCATGCATGGAGGAAAACTAAGGACTAAGATTACATTTTTATGATTCTAAACACTCCAAACGTCTGAAATGATAGCTCAAATGAATTAGAGTAACCCATACTCAAATAGATCAAGATTATGGGACCAAAATGAGCACAATCCATGGCTAATCAAGATATAAGCAAAACTTCATCAAGATCAGAGCTTTTTACCTCCAATTGGTGCAAAATGATGATGTGCTTCTGGATCCAAAGTGCTTCAAGCTTCCAAGATGCTTTCCTTTCATTCTTCTTCCTCTAAGAACACCAAAACACATACTAATGGATCAAAGATGCTCTCAAAATGAATTAGGGTTTGCAATGGTCGATATGAAGGATGGAGGCTGATGAAAGAAAGGGTATTGAGGCTATAAAGGTGTTTAAATAGTGTACAAACCCTAAATATTAGGGTTTGGTCTAGGCCACATACGCCCATCGTACGAGAACATACGCCCATCGTACGAGAAGTACGCCCAGCGTACATGATGAAACGTGTTTTCCTCTAAAATGCTACAAGGGACCAATTTGCAAATAATTTTACATATCAAGGGCATAAAGGGAAATACATGAATATCAAGATGTTACAATTTCAGAGCTCTCAAACAAAGATTACAAGTACAATTTCATAGAGATTCACCTATCACTCTAGAATTCCAAGACACATAAATGACTTAGCATGCATCCGTCTTTATACCTGAGAGATCAGGCCTAGAACCCTAATGGGCCAAGCCCATTGGCCCATAGGCCCATGAATAGTGTCAACCATTCTCAATCCACCATGCAACATCTTCTGGAACATTCATCCATGTCATACAACCCATGAGCATCAACAACACACATGATGAAGCATCATGAAAATTAGTGGCGCTTCATCCATAATGCTGGCTCATCAAGATGTATTCCTTGAGCATCTTCAACTTCATAGCATCCTTGGACAATCTTGAGCATTATAGATGACTTCATAGCATACGGCTCATCAAGGAACACAAGTGGCACATCCTTGCAACAAGATGGCGCATCAACATGAGAATGACACTTCTTCTCTAGGGATGGCGCTTCGTCCTTATGAATGTTGCTCCTAGAACCATAGTGGCGCTTCTTCCTCCAGTATGGCACTTTTACCTCTCGAATGGCGCTTCTAGAACCATAGTGGCGCTTCTTCCTTCAAAGTGGCGCTTCTTCCTTCAGAATGGTGCTTCTACCTCTATAATGGCATATCTAGACAGTAAGTGGCGCATCCACATTATGGATGGTGCTTCTTCATCCATAATGATGCTTCTAGAATGGCACTTCAAGCATAGATGGCACATCCATGCACCAGGATGCTCCATTCCACTTCCAGGTGCTCTATACCCCTTTTAGAAGATCTGTTTATTTGTCACTTTATCCGTTCCTTTGTCAGGCGATCCATTCCTTTCTCAGATGATATGTTCCTTTGTCATATGCTCCATGAACCCCAAGTGCTCCATTGGTTTCCAAGTGCTCCATTGAACTCAAATTCTCTATGTGAATGCTCCAAATGCTCGAGTCACATTTAACACACTCTTCACTAGTTATTCAAAGACAATATTCGCAATTGTAGTTGAAAACTTATCCGAGTGGAAGAATGTTGGATTAAGTGTCTAAGGTCTTAATTAAATTGGTATAATCTTAGTGAATAAAAGTAAAGTCCTTTTGGGTTGCCCTCATACCCAGGAAAATAGCTAGGATTAATAAAAAGAGAGAGGCAAAATGATTTGTTAATATGTTATATGTTTAATATATTGATTAGAAATTATTAATAATTAATTAGAAATTAATCTAAATTAATTAGAAGTTATTTTTGGATTAATTAGAAATAATTAAGGGTGCAAGGGTTGAATTGCAATTATTCAATAGTTGAGCAATGGAGACAATTCTAGAACCTCCCTGCCCCCGGATGGTTTAAGGAGAGGCCCAGAGGGATTCTATCCCTCTGGAAGCCTCTTGAATCAGATAAGGAAATAGGGTTATAATTAAATTAAAATACTAATATTTTAATATTCAAATATTGGGTTTCTAGGTTATATGACAGCTATATAAAGAGACATAACCCTTTGCAAAACCGATCCCTTAACCCTACTCATAAGAATCGATTTTATCCCTCTCTCTCTCTCTCTCTCTCTCTCTCTCTCTCTCTCTCTCTCTCTCTCTCTCTCTCTCTCCATATTTTCGATCCTAGGGTTTGAGTGTGACACATTAGAGGCTACCACATTATTAGAGCTAGCTTTCTAAGGAGATTCTAAGAGAGTTGTTTAGCTTAATTCGATTTAAGCAAATGTATGTTTTCTTACATGTGATTTTCGATTACATAAGGTTAGAAAGATTGTTTCATAAAATATGTTGTTATAACTAGAGAAAATACCATAGAAGTTCTAGGTTGTATGTGTCCATAAGTGTATGTGTAATTTCCGTTGTGCCAAAATCTTTTTTTTGTAACCTAGAAAACCCATCAAAATATGTCATGCATAATAAATCGATATGGCGAAGGATCTTAATAAGATCTACCAACTACTTCGACATAGAGAATACTTCGATAATACTATGAAGTTCTCATCTTCGGATATGTAGACTTTGGATAGACAATAAGGACTTCCACATTCTTCACAACATTAATAACTTCTACATTAATGCTCTATCATGATGCTCCATTGAATTTCTAGATGCTCCATTGAATTGTCATGCTCCAACTCTCATTTCAATTGAATTTCTAGATGCTCCATTGAATTGTCAAATGCTCCAACTCTCATTTCAGGTCTTCAATTCTCAATTCATATTTAATAGTACCTTTCTTAAACCTTTTAAAAATAACTTTTAGCGACTTAGATGAAACAAATTTAATACTTCATTACTTTTATATGAAATTGGCCTAATTCGTATTGTTTCCTATTCTTCATTTTGGATCAGGTTCTTGTCATTCTTTATTGAGATACTAGTTACTTATGACAACAACTTTTTCTAGCATAAAAAAATTCATTTCAAGCTTCGTTACTTTGGCGAAGTACTCTAATACTCAAGTATCTTGGGGTATTCGGTATTTCAGCACGCCAAAATCATTTTAAGACAGAGTTCATGTTATGGATGATTCCTTGGCCATCTAGCTTGAAGGGGTGTTAGATTTCAGGTATGTTCAATAGTGGGCATTTGAGAGCTTTTATTTGTTAAGAAAAAACTCGCATCAAAAAGAAAAATTCTCATTCTGGAGCACAAGCATAAAGCTTTTTTCTTAAACAAAAAGCTTTTAATCCAAAAGCTAATTAGCTACTTCAAGTAGCTTTTAGCTTTTAGCTATTTTTTTTATATAATTTTAGTGTTTTTAAAAAGCTTACAACTACGTTTGTCGAACACTTTTACACAAATAAAAGCTACATCTTCCGGCTATTGGCTCGTTTTGTCAAACATACCCTTCATCTGTTCCTTCATCTCTTTAGCTTAGGAAATCCTTATGAGCTGATTACTCTTTATTTGTTGATGTTATCTTCAACTCCACCTTGAGTATTTTTCATGGGTTTATCTACTCAAGGTTTGTCATCTACTGAATCTCTACCATCTTGGTAATGTTGCATTTCCAGGCTGTTTGACAGCTGTTGGCGACTGTTGAATCAGTTAATTAGTTGCTATCAGTTAGTTTAGCTAGCTGTGTGTGTTATATTACACTCCTTGAGGCATCCTGTCTTTGTAAATTATGAAAGTAAATATCTATTTCTATTTTCCATTTCCATTCAACTTATGTTCCGTTGTTTTTCAATTACAGCATGATTCCTAGTATAATTAAGAGTTCTAAAAGCTCATTTTTACAAGGATTATTTACACTGCTACAGCCATAACTTTTTGCCATCATAATTTGAAACAATGAATATTTTTTAGCTCAAGTATATGTGGAAAGAAGAAAACCCCGAATATAATGATCATTTTTACTGAATCATCAATAAACCATTTGGCACTTTGAGGAACTTGAAGAGGATGTCTAGTTATTGTCATCTACTGATTCTCCGCTTCATTGATTGAATATTGGGGGAGATCTTTTGTAACTTCTACTGTTTTTTTACTGTCTATTCTGGATGTAATATGCAAGCCCTGCACCCAAAAATTAAGTAAACCAGTTTCAGGGTCAAGAAAAAAAAAATCCAGGAGTCTCTACAAAAGGAGGTAGGAAGCATAGATCACCTTGGCAATGATGAAGCTCGTGGCCTCTCTACAGTATCAGCAACTGTACTGTTACCATAATGCTCCTCAAGGTAAGCAAACTGCTTCTTAAATTGCTTAACAGCACTGCAAAAGTGAAGACAATCATATATTAGATGATATATTCCTTGTGGATAAAGATTATCTTTCCATGTACCAAGTGGGGCCCGGATAGTTCTAGTCAGTTCCACACAATTTTATGTCCGTTTATTATGTGAAACATGTGCTACATCAACAGCATGTGATGTTTTGGTGTGTATATATCATTGTGTTTGGTGATTAATTTCGTACGTAGTATATTGCCAAAAAAATTGTACCTTGGATAGTTGAAGCCAATTTGTTGAGCTCCATCCAAGTACTCTTTCAACATATTGGGATGGTATTCAAGAATCTCCCTATAAATCAGTTCACGTACATCTTCTTCCGTATATTTTCTTCTTTCAAACTCAAATTCCAACTTTGAAATGGGCTGAGCAGAAGGCTCCTTCTCAGTCTTAGCTATATTCTTAAAGTATGGATCTGAAAGAGCCTAATACAAAGCCCAAAACATGCTTTTTGATAAGGCTAAATACAAGAAATTGCAATGTACTTTCATTTATATGTGTACTACATATAGCCAAGATTCTACCTCCTCAGTAGTAGGCCTATCCTTATGCTCAAACGCAAGCATTCTTTCTAATAAACGAAGAGCAAGAGGATCTTTATTTGGGAACTTGTGTGAAAAAGGAATCCCGTTTTTCTTCCTCATGCAGCTCAAGTATCTCCTTGCCTTTTCATTTCCTATCTGTTTTGAATCATATCAACATTAACAAGTAAGAAAGAAAGAGCAATTTACTTTCTAAGAAGTAGTGATGTAACTATAAACCAACCTTGGATATAGTTTCAGGTGATGGTGTTCCTAAAAGATCAGTCATTAGATCCAACTGATGAACAGTATTTTTCCCAGGGAAAAGGGGCTTTCCTGTTAAAATTTCTGCAAAAATGCAACCGATACTCCATATGTCTATAGCAGGTGTGTACTGCAGACAAAGAGCTATTTTATAGTGAGTTATTTGGTTAAATGCAAAAAATAGCAATGTACTTTAATTGATTTTTTAACTATAATACACACATAAATGAAAGTACATTGCTACTTTTTGGAATTAGCACTAATTTATAAATCTTTATTGCCATCGATATATTTGTTCAGAGGTTAAAGTAATTCTAATTTTAAATGTGTAGAATTTAAAGCATATAACTGTAGTTTTAGTAGTGGCACCTTGCTAAAGAATAATCCACACAGTTCAGGAGCCCTATACCATCGTGCTGCAACATAATCCTGTGAATGCAACCTGATTAACTTTAAAAAAAAAAAAAAAAAAAAAAAAAATGGCATGTTATTACACATACAGTCCAATATATTGCAGTTGGTGGATGATTGAATGCAACCCTTGAAAGACCAAAGTCACAGATCTTAAGTTTGCAATCAGCATTGGCCAAGATATTTTTGGGTTTTAGATCTCTGTGAAAGACATTTGCTGAAATTAAAAGAAGTAACTCACAATCAGAATGCACAGAAATATAACAATTAAAAAAAAATACTCATATCATTAGAAAATGATAACACTGTATGACCTGAGTGTATGTATTTCAGTCCTCGAAGAAGCTGATAAAGAAAGAACTGATGGTGTTCTGGTGTTAAGTCATCGTTTCCCTTAATAACCTCATGAAGATCAGATCCCATAAGCTCAAAAACCAAATATATATCTTTGAATTCTCTTCTGGAAGGTGGTAATAAGATGTGTTTGATTTCAACAATGTCTGAATGACAAAGGAGCCTAAGAAGCTTAATCTCACGAATGATGCTAACAGCAACAGAAACATGTTCGAATATATCATTTATTTTTTTTATTGCTACTTTCTCGCCAATATGAGTATCATATGCAGAACATACAATTCCAGAGCTTCCTTTACCAATAACTTCCAATAATTTGTACCTACTCCCTTCACCATATTCACTGAAAAATTCTGCTTCTGTAGATCCCTGGAACATCATAGCAAAAGGATTTACAAATTACAAAACATGAAAATGGAAAGTTATTTGGGAAATATTAATTTTGTTCTTTTTGTCTTAATTAATTATTAATATAAGTTGATGTATATTTTTGGATTCTTACCAGACTTGAAGTATCTGTATGTCCCTGAAAACCTTCTTCTTTGTGCTTCCTAATACTAACATCAGGATTTGTAGAGATCAAAGTGTTGTTGTCAACCTTTCCAGAACTTCCCTCGCCAAAACTACTCCTTGGATTTATATTTGCTGTAACATAGTAGATGACAAAATGAATGTCTCATAAGCATTGTAACAAGTACAAAACGAGCATTATTAACCATCAAACAAGTTTGTACTAGTTTTAAGAGTGTAAAGAAGATAAGTATATGTATATAAAGACTACTCCTTTCGGCATAACTACTCTTTTGTATTTTAAAGTTATGGGATTGCATTTCTATATTGTAACTAAGGAATCTGTACACACAATTGAACAGGAGCTGAATATACCAGAGTTCTCTAAACTGGAGGAAAAGGGAAACCTATCAAACATTCTTCCAAATATTGTTTTGCCACCAGCCTGCAAGGAACTATTGATTTTGACTTGTAAAGTCAATGCAGATTCAAGACTGAAAACAACCTCAGCCATGGTAGGGCGTTGCTTTGGATGGCTAAGTAAACATCTCTTTGCAATTCGAACAAACACCTTCAAACATTTTGTGGATATTTCACCTCTTATATCTGAATCAATTATATCCTTTAACTTCCCCCCTTTGATAGAATCTTGAACCCATGTTGCCAAGCCCTCTTCAATACTTTTATCCAATGCACGTTTCCTGCACAGCACTTCAAACAACACAACCCCAAACGCATACACATCAGACTTCCTTGTCAGCCTTCCTGTTGCGTAATAATGTGGATCAAGATACCCAAATGTTCCTCTAACAAGTGTATTGACATGAGTCGATAGCTGATTTGTTGGACCTATTTTCGACAAGCCAAAATCTGAAATTTTAGCTGCCCAACTTTCATGTAACAAAATATTGGAGCTCTTGACATCACGATGTATAACCCCGAAATCAATCCCTGTACCAGTGTGGAGATAGTCTAACCCACGAGCTGCACTTATGCAGATCTTGAGTCGTTGAAGCCATGAAAGAGGGGTACCGAGTTTATGGAGGTGGTCTTCTAGTGTTCCATTTGGCATATATTCATATACGAGGATCATTTCATTTTCATGATTACAATAACCAAACAAAGACACAAGATGACTATGACGTAACTTTGAAAGCATCTCAACTTCCGCCCAGAACTCTGTTGCCCCTTGACTGGACATGGAGTCCAACCGTTTAATGGCAGCAATGGAAACACTTGATCCATTGATAATGTTACCTTTGTAAACTTTTCCAAATCCTCCATGCCCAATTACTAATGATTCGTCAAAATTATTGGTTGCTAAGAGAATCTCATCAAACTGGAAGTGACGGCATGCTTGAGTGAGGTGTATGGAGGAGGAGGAGGAGGAGGAGGTTGAGGGTTGAGATTCCTTACCATCGCCAGTGGCAGCGATCATAACTCTTGATGAAGAACAAGTCGAAGTAGACGTTCGAATTTGCAATAGTTGTTCTGCCATGGAGGATATTGAAGGTTGACAGTCAACTGCAATGAGTGATGAAGGCCACGCCACTTTAGTTTCAAAAGCTCTAGATCCAAAGCTTTTTTTTTTTGACTTAGACTACACACACCATAGGTATTCTATTGCAACTTGCAACTAGTGGCTCACTAAGACAAAAAATTTAAAAATAAAAAATTTAAAAAAATAAAAAAAATAATCTATTAAAATAATATCAAAGGCCAAAGTTGTTACACTATCTCTATTCACAACCAAATTCAAAACATAACTATTATTAAAAAAACTAATTTCTCTTTCTCTACCTACATAACCCAATCAAATCCAAAATTTCACTTCCATTAACAACCAAAGTCATTTTTTTATTAAATAAATATAACTTATATTTTTTTATTCAAATAAAACTTATTAAAAGTATTATTATTTTGAGAAGCATATAATTTATTTATTTAAGATATAAAAATATTTTAAAAAAATAGAAATAAAAATATGTAACATTTGTCAAACATGCTTAATAAAAATGATAAATCAAGTTACAAATGTAACATGATAAACAAAATTACATATTTAGAAGATACAAAATACATATTATTCGTAACTTCCAAACTTTTTCTCTCATTAACACCCAACCAAAATCATTTTGTGATTAAATAAATATAATTTATAGTTTTTTTATTCAAATAAAACTTATTAATTTTTTTTTCAAACAAATAATTTATTTATTTAAGATATAAAAATATAAAAAATAGACATAAAAATATATAACATTCATAAACATACTTAATAAAAAAGATAAACCAAGTTACAAATGTAACATGAAATATAAAATTACATATTTAGAAGGAACAAAAAAAACATATTATTCGTAACGAAGGATCAATGATAGAAAATACCAAATCAAAAGAGATAAGAAATAGAAAATCAAAATTGGATATGAAAATATATAGATATTATAGTCTATTTATAAAGAAAAAAATCTTATTTATATATATGTATATATATATATATATATATATATATATATATATATTATAATACACATAGCTATAAGATAATTTTACCCAAACCATAGGGACGGTCCGAATGCAAAAAAAAAAAAGTTAGGGACCAAACATGCAATTTTGACCAAACCATAGGGACGATTTCAGTAATTTGTTCTTTTTAAATATTAGATTTTTAGTAATAACTCATATATTTTTGTTTATCATTGTGAAAAAATAAATTAATAAAGAAATGGTCAAACAGTGATTGATATGGGGATATATTCTGTGTATTCTTGAAAGGCCTTTGATTTCTCTAATATTTTTTCACCAACCCAACAAACATTTATTTAACGATGGGCATAGTCTTATAAGTTGCTTCTCTAGTTGGCCATGATGAAAGAGAAATTATTATTTTAATTAAAGGTTAAGTTGGGTATGTCATGAATGTGGATAGTCTTAGTGGGTTGGATCTAGGGTTCTGGACTAGTTAATTATTCTCATTCGGATTTTGGACAACTTTTTTTTGTTATATTATATATAAGACAAAAAAAAATATATTAGAAACTTTAGAAAACTTGTAACAACCATAAAAATTCACAAAAATTTAAAACTTCTTAAATATCCAAAAACCATGAATTATTACAAAGTGTTTTCAAAATAGTTTAATATCAGAGTTCCCATAAATCCAAGTCATAAAATGTGAGGATGTGTACGTCACGCCTTCGCCTTCCCGCGATCCTCATAAGTACCTGAAACAAAACTCATAAATGTAAGCTCGAAGGCTTAGTGAGATACCCCCAAAATACTGATACCAACATACAGTCCACATAACAATAACAGCGATATCATAACATAACAACATGCAATGGGTCCACAACTCTACATATTGGACTACCCCTGAACCCACAGTATGAGTCTGGCTTGCCCTCCCCGGCCCACAGCTCATATTTGGCTTGCTCTCGAGCCCACATCATAAGTATGGCTTGCTCTCGGGCCCACAGTCTATGTCTGGCTTGCTTCTTCAGTCCTTGGAATGGAATATAAATGATTAGCCCTCAGTACAAGTCTGGCATGCTCTACCCGGCCCTCAGCTCGTATCTAGAATGCATATGAGTCCTCAGTATGAGTTTGGTATGCCCACCCCGGCCCTCAGCTCACATCTGGCATACTCTCGGGTTTGTTGGCCACCGCACGGAGCAATGCAACCTCAACCCAACCACACAATATGTCGACATATAACACATAAGTGCAAATACAGATAATCAAACAGTATCACAGGTAGTCCCACAGATCTACCAGACTAGTATATCAAACTCACATACATAGCTAACTTATACTCAACATGTCAATAACTACTAGGATATCAAATCCAATGGGCCGGCCTTGGTGCCTTAGACCCCTTAGTATAGTGAGGACAACTCACCTCTCACTGTCGAATGAAAACTGAAAAGATCAACTCCTGAAAACACGGCTCCAAACACCAACACCTATAACCACCTACGATCCATTTCTATAAATTCCCAAATCACCAAAATGCCCTCAGAAGTCAAACTGGTCAACCCTTGGTCAAAGTCAATGTCAATGTCAACGGTCAAGGTCAACAGTCCATGTTGACCCAACTCGTCGAGTACACCTTACAGACTTGTCGAGTTCCTTCAGAACTCAGAAAGTCGCGAAAGTCCGAGTCAACTCGTTGAGTTGGCAATCCAACTCGTCGAGTCCATGCAACGTCCAGAAGGTTGGGAAAAACACTAACCACTCGTCGATTTATCTCACTAACTCGTCGAGTTCATGCAGAATACAGAAAACGGGAAAACCCGTCTCAACTCGTCGAGTTGGCTTATCCAACTAGTCGAGTTCATGTAGTCCATTGCTTATCCAGACGATTTTAAGCTACTCCAAAGCTCCAGATTGTAGATCTAGCTTCCAAGGGCATAGTTACCACGTAAAGTTTCAAACCTTACGTGCATGCAATGCCTTAAATGCCAAAACCAAGCTAAAGAAGAGGTTTAAGGTAGAGGGAAGGGTCATAGCTTGCTAAAGTCTAGAACTTTATGACTATAAGGGACTAGAGGAGTCCAGATCTGAAGTTACAGCTTCAGATCATGCCCAAAACCAGAAATAACTCATCAACAAACTATAAATGGCCCTAATCCTTTGCATGAAGAGATCTAGCTAGAGAAGAGTCAAGGTAACTACTTGTTACCTTTAAGATGATGCCAAGATGAAGTAGAAACCGGATCTACAAGCTTCTCCTTGCTCCAAGCTCCTTAGCTGTCAAGCTCTTTTCACCAAAACCACCTTCCAGGCTTCTTATCACACAAAATGGAGAGTAAAAGGCGATTAGGGTTTTCTGAGATCAAGGGGGACGGTAAGGGAGGCAGATGGTGGCTAATGACCCTTTAAATAGGGTGCAAAACCCTGGAAATTAGGGTTTCATTTTCCAGCTCCAACTCGTCGAGTTTTGCCTCTCAACTCGACGAGTAGAGAATTTCCTACACGTAAAGTTGAGGCCATTAACTCGACGAGTTCCAAGTCAAAATGTCCTTTTTAGATAAAATTCTTATACCTGGGAGTCGGGATGTTACAAAACTCTTTTTTAAAACATTGTAGCACAAATTAACGTAGGTCCTTAAAGTATCAATTTACCTGTTAAATAGGAGAACCATCCAATTTAATTCTGGTTTCACTCCCATGTAGATTTTTTTATTTTTTCAAAATTAAAAATTAAAACATTATCTACTTGGCTTTCTTTTTCATTTTCCTTTAATAGAATGAGCCATAAAATGAAACCGCTCCACCATTCTTCGTTCATATCCCCATCTTGAATCATTTCTCATGATAGCAAAGAAAATACCGTTTTTTCCGATGATGGTGGCGACTCCGATTAATTTCACATGTAATAGACGCGCGAAAAATATAATCAACATAAACCACCACCACCTTCATATATCCATCCCTTTTCCATCTCCTTCTCAAATCTCTCCGACACCATCATACGCTTTTGGGGAAAATCTGGATCTTAGCAGACGTAAAAAATGTAACACCCGTTCCCAGAATGGATCAGGTGAAGGCTTGGTGGGATCAGAGATATGACATTTGGAAAAACTAGGTGCCACGACGTGGCGTATTTTATGCATGATCATGTGTTTAGTTGGTCGCCACGACGTGGTAGCTGTAACGGCCCAAGCCCATGATTTTTATGGTTTTCTCCATATTTAAACACCTAATCTCAAGGATTAGGGCATCCTTTTCAGCCTCCAACCCTTTCAAACGAAACCCTAGCCTACTTGGAGTGAATCTTGTTGTATTAGTGGTGATTCTTGAAGTTTCAAGCTTTGGTTTGCATTTTTGGAAGATGGAGTTGTGTGCTTGCTAGTTGGAAGAGTGTATCACTTCAGATCTTGCACCTCATGCATCTAGTTGGAAGACTGGACATAGAATCCACCGTTTATTGGCAGCAACAGCAACACTTGATCCATTAATAATATTACCTTTGTAAACTTTTCCAAACCCTCCATTCCCTATCACTAATGTTTCATCAAAGTTATTGGTTTCTAGGAGAAGGTCAGGAAATTTGAAATGACGCCATGGTTGTGAGAAATTCTATGGAGGAATTGGAGGGTTGGGATTCTTTGCCATGGCCAATAGAGGCCAACATAATTATTTATGAAGAAGGATAATTTGAAGTAGATGTAGAATTTGAAATAGTTGTTCCACCAATATGGTTGATATTGAAGGTTCATAGTCAACTGTAAACTTCCTTGGCCGAATGAGAGATGGAGCCCAGCATAACGTCACATTCGTTTTAAGACCATATTTTAAAGTCAACTTTAAACTTGTTGCTAGAATAGTGGAATGAGAGATGGAGCCGAGGTAAAGGCTGACCAGTTATCAAAAATCAGTCAAATATTTTATTTTTTCAAAGTACCCGTTTTTTTGTAACGAAACTCGTCTTTTTGTGGATCAATTTGGATGGGTATATTCTCATCGGTTTTTATTAGTTTATGCATTATGGCC